CCAGAGCATGATTTCTTTGAAAAGGTAAATTCCGGGTAGTGGAGCTAGGCGTAGGGTTGGGGTGCCTACCTGGCCTCAAACCCCCCCCACCCTTGCCGATTTCCTGCCTACGCCACTGTTTGGAAGAATGAAGCGATTTGGATCTGAATTCCGTGTTCTGCTGACATGTTTGTCCCTCATGAATCACGAATCAACAATCGGGTCGCTCGGGAAGGGAAAGAAAGAACCCCAACGACGGTTCAAGCAGAGGTCATTATTTTCCCTTAATAGCAATATAAACATGTCATCAGAACCAAATTTAGTTTTTAAATACAAAATATGAAAATTATATAGATTTTCAACCTTTTTGCGTACAATTTACACTATTTATGAGATAAAACCCCTATTTAAATAGACAGGAAAAGGGTTAGACGGCTCCTCATCAGTCGCTTTCGATTGCCATCTCCAGTCGACGAAACTTGCAACGCTCAGCAGTTTAGGTCCATCAACACGCCAATCGTTCGCACTCCTTCCACCGTTTTAAGTCGAGGGGGCAGGAGTCAGGTGACCAGATCGATCGAGATTCGCTGCAGAGATCGCATCTAAACGATCGAAGCAGTTCCGAAGGATCTCACCGTTGGATCAAGTAGGAAGCGATAAGCTGTAGATGCTCTCGTGGGCATCGGAATCGTCTGACACCATACGAGAATCGACAAATCGACGAACACACACGCGTATGGAGGATACGAATAAGAACTTATTTTTGTAGTAGGGATCATTATCGGAGCATCACTCTCTGCACGGGAGAGAGACGAATTTAAAGTTATTTCTACGAAGCGCTTCCTCTGGGAGGTTTTCCGTGCTTAAACTCAAATTTCACTAATCGAGACGAGATTCACCGATAACTCGTACTGCGCTCACTAACAAAATGCTACAATTTCAAAACTCGAGGAGAAATAGTTCCCAAATTATTGACCTTCGACACCGTCTGCTTTATTCACATACACCCTTGTATGGAGACCATGGACTGCTCCTTCCCTTCCTTTCTTGAAAAAAGCTGAATGGCTGAACATCACACATCTAGTCCATTTCCAGAGTTCTTACTGGGGGACAAAAGATCATGGTCAACAATGCAAGTTGTATTTTGGCCTTAGAGGTAGATGAATAAAAAGACCCACTCAACGACAATGAAACATCAATGCAAGACTAAGAGGTACTTTATTGCAAAATTGCACATCAAGTCGAGTCACTGGGAGGTGCATTCACAGCCTTCTGACGCTCGTCTAAGCACCGTGAAAGTTCAGAAGGGTGGTGAGTGAGCACATTGGTCAGTTGACTTCCAAGGGATGACAGAGATGAACACAACTGGGCCCGCATCACATCCAGACTTGGCAATCGTGAATACCAGTTCAATTGAGACACACTTAAGAAGCTCCCATCCACTATTGCAGCTATAATAACAAATCACAGACTCATTATGAAATCTCTTTGGGCATGAAACACCATGCAAGAAGCAAAGCTCTCAAGTTGAATCTACAGGGTGTCTGGAAAGTCACTCCCTATTCTTAAATTGCAATAAAATAAGTAATTTTTGGAGTAGAACAATGGTTTTTGTGTTGATAGAACCTTCCATAGTGGAAAAATGGAATATTTTGCAAGGTGCACAAATAACTGTACATTCTTTGATTTCTAGGAGAATACCTATGATACCATGTTCAAAGTATTCTTGAGTTTACACATTGAAATTGTGCAAAAAGTCTAGAGGCTATGTAGGTACTGTGCAAAATAAAGGTAATTTCTAAGGCAAGATGCACCAGATACTACCAGATGCAGTTACATTTCCTATGACATCATTCTAAAAATCCAAGTCAAACACATTTCAACGTAACATACCCAAAAGGGTGAATGTGGGCATCTTCCTGACAGCTTTCAAAAGGAAGGCCACCTTGGGTTCCTCAGAGAAAATGAGACTCTGTTGTGACACAAACAGGGAAGTAATGGGCTCAAACTGAGTTTCTTTCACTGCCTCAATCACAAGATTGTCAGTATAACTCCTCAGGGTCATTCCTTCCTTGTGGATCAATAAATTTGCCTGAAAGTAGAATGGGAAAAATTTTTTTTCCAACCAAATCATTCAAATATTGTATGCTAAAATAAAACCTTTTACCCCCTGTAAAAGATTGACACAACACTTTTCCAGTGTCAATCAGAAAATTTTCACGTTCTGAAGACTAGATTACAATTATTCGAGCTAATTTTTTTTTCTGCTTTTGTTTTTAAAAGAAGTTGAATAGTAAAAAACAGGTACATGGTAAGTGATGTCATCACTTGAAACTGGCATTCTGCTCCTCTGATTAAGCTGTATTGCAAAATGTGCTAATACCCCAATAACCATGCAGAACTATCACAAGGGGCTCACAAGCTAGCACAAAAGAGGTCTAGGTTTTAACTCAGACTGGCAGCATGTAGTTTTCTCAGTATTCCACTATTTGAGCCACAATATGACAGCTATCTTGCAAATATTGATGAGAGGTGTATGATTCAGTATCTTTCACATCACAAATGGGACTGAATGGTGTGAACAGACAAACTGAACCAAATGACATCACAGCCAAAATAGCCCAGCCCTTACATCAGACAAATGAGAAGACAGATCACAAATTAAATTGAAGCAACTGAGAACAAGTTCTTTTTTTAATTTAGAACTTTCCCCTTCAATAAGAAGATGTGGAAATTCATGAATCTCACTTCAAACTCATCTTCCCGAGTAGTTCGGTTGCGGTGGAGCACAGCCACCATTCGGGATGAATCCAGTCTCTTCTTGATCAGACGAACCATAACCTTCTCGTACTGATGCAACTGTGGCAGGGTAATCATAATCATCAATAATCAGTCAGAGCAAATCAAAGTGCACTGCAAAGGAAAGTGTTCAAACAAGGCTTTCATGAACATGTGCTCACAACTGCTTAACCTCTCAAGCATGACTTTTCTGAAAACCAGCAAAGTTTCAGAGTGGCATACATTGTCGCACATGAAGGGGGGGGGGTTAAAAGCTTCACAAAAATGTTAATCATTATAAAACTCATGAAAGTGGCAAACCTTACATTTACATGCTTTTGGAAAATTTTCAAAACAAACTTACTATATACTAAATTTGAAATTTGTTTTGGTTTTTGGAGTCCAAGACCTCTGGACAAATAAACGCTTCAAAATAGGACTCAAACTTTTTTCAATAAGCAGCAATCTACAGTGTTTTCAGTAAAAGTCAATCATTTTCACTCAACTTCAACAAAGTAACATGCAAGGTTTGCACAACTGCCAACACACCCCAGTTTTCTTGTTCAAATCCTTATACATGGTGTTCTTTTCACAGGTAAGATTGAATGGGAGATCTTTCAAAGGATCAGGGTACTGTGGTATCACCAACTTCAATACTTTGGCACGCTCCCAATGTGGAGGATGAGGGCGCTGAATATTTGGCTTTCTATAACGGACTATGGCAACCACTGGTGTCCATGGGGGGCTAGACCTTCCCCATCCTGCAAGAATAAATATTCATTCAAATATGACATATATAGCCTTAGGCTATCACTAGGGTACCAGGACAACCTAGCAACTTCATCCAACCAATGCATCATCACTCACCAAATGTTAATGGTTGAAGCAAAGCCTTCATTCCAACACTTTGCAGTTGTGTTCACCTGGGGAAATAGCCTGACAGCAGCAGATGTACTATAAGCAGCCCTTAAAAATGTGTGCAATTACAAAGGTAGGCAAATAAAGAAAGCTCAATTTGAATAGGAGGCTAGGAAAGCATTCACTCCTCAGGCATGGTCATACTAGTGGTTTGACACCCCTGACCACTGCTCAAGATCACATGAAGTTGCACTGGCAAAAGATACATACATATATATAATATATAATTTCAAAAGTTAGGTACTTATGTCAGAATGAGAGGGAAAATTCCTTCAGGTATAGCTATATATCAGTATGGTCATGTTGCCTTTCAAAAGAACAAGAAATCAAGTCATGAGATTTGGTTAAATTTAGTAGAATTATTTCTCAAATGGAATCTGGACCAGCTCAACATTTGCCAAAATTGTCCATAGGCATTCAGTTACTCTAGCAATGCCAGGATGCAAGTGCAAATCCTCTCTTCACAAGCTGCAAGGAACTTATTGATAAGATACTTAGATTATTTGGAAATAATGCATGGATTGTATTAATAAAGATTTATAATTTTCTGAAACACTTCTCTTTAAAAAAAATTTGAGCACAGACATCTGAAATTTTGTTCTGATAGATAGAAAATAAAAAATCAGAGAATAGAACGACTTTAGGAAGCCTTCTTCCATGATGCGGAAAAACTTACCTATCTCTAAATTATTTTCATAATACTTGAATGGGGCATTTTACTTTATTTCCAAATTTTTTTTATTTATGAATGCATGTTTTTCATTTTACAATTATGACAACTGCAAGCATACTAAAGATGACAGCAAAACAATCATATCACAATAACAGGATGTCTGCAACCCACTGTACCTACTCTTGGAATAAAGTTTTCTTATATCTTAATTGCTGAAGCTTCTATGGCTTATAATCTATAGAACATAGCAATTGCTCAAAGGCCAAGAACAAAGGATATGAATAATAGGCACATGGAGTTTTGGGAATTCTTCACCCATTCTACTCGAATCCATTAGGGTCAAGTAGTGGTCACTCCAAGAGAATCTTGATGCAATGACAAATCATCAAATTTTAGGCAGCTTAGACAATACCAAAGTACTTCGCAAATGAACTTGCATTATCTTTGACAATGTGTGAATATGAACTTCATGTTGCATGCCAACACAGACACTAGGCCTATAGGGTCAAAGTTAAATATGGAATAGATCTCTGCCCAATTCATATTTATGCCATTGCCAAACTTGCGTGCGCAGTACTTCCATCTCTAAAATTTAAACTGATACACTTTGACATGTTTCAAAAAAAGCCAAACCCTCTTATTGAAGACTGGAATGAATTAATTTGCAGGTGTATGCGTAGGTCTATCTCTCCTACACTGCCTCCTTCCAGGGCCTGCACAGGCTCATCGATTCTAGATAAGGGGCAGAGGTCACGTAAAAGTTCCAGCGAGAAGGTTTCACTTTCCATTCGAGCACGTGCTGCACCCCGGTTCAGTCTGGAGGCAGACATATTGGCTGTCTTCCCTCATCCGCCTGTGCCGATTGAACGTCGCGAATGATCCCGATTGACAAGTTTTCCAGGCCGTGATCGGAGTCTTCCTCTTGTTATAACTGCCCCTTCCCCCTTAATTTGACGTGAGGGTTTGGACTTTTCTGAAGCACGCTATAACGTGTCTTGCTATTCTGTACCAGCTACGCACGGGGCAAACTTTTTAAATTAAATACTTGAAAAAATCAATTTCTAGGTAGTGAAACTTGTTTTATTCCAGTGGGCTCCCTGTCCTGATATAAGACTGTATTTTCCTCTTGACCCTTGGCCTTTTTAGTGAGGATATCTTAAAAAAAAAATAGAGGGTACCTAGCTCGTCCACTTGTGTTCCCACTTTCGTATTTCGCAGATAGAATTTTCTTTTTTAAAGGGTAAACAACCATCAAGCCAACTGATTCTATGCATACAAGCGAACAAGACAGGCTGGTTTCATTATTGGTTAAACTCAAGCCAGAAGAAAGTATTTTCCGAGCGATTTTTACGTTAGAAATTTTTTACTCGCAGAAAAGCAGAGATGGCCAGCCACCATTCCCAAGCAGATTATTTTTTAAGAAGTGGATAATAGCGAGTGCCCGTTCATTCTAAAACAGACTTCCCACCATTAAAAAATTAATGAGAAGCTTATTCTTTTGAGAGCAAGGATACTATGACCGTCGGATTGGCGAGATCACCTGGCAACGGAGAAAACGCTCGTCGCGACAAACAAATCCAGGGCCTTGCCCTAGGCGCCAACACGCCTAGAAACTGCCCTGAGCAAATCACGGTGGTGCCATTCTTAAAAACCGATAAGGGTTCGAGTCGTTTTTCGTTCTGAAGGAACCCTGCGTTCGGGTTTCCCCTACGCTTCGGAATCCTTAAATCCTGGTGAAATTGTCCACGGTAGACGTTTTAGAGAAGCTGATCAAATGTTGCCTCATTACTTGACGCAAGTCGCAGGAACGAGACCGGATTCCAAACGATTTGCGATGTCGATGGACAAGGGAGTGCTCCTCCTTTCCTTCGGTTGGCTCTTCGCAGCTTGGCAGTTTCATGCCGCTGAGGAGCGACATTATCAGTGGTGCAACCAGCCCCAAAGTTTGGGGGGATTCGATGTTCTCATGACCTGTCTTTCAAACGTCTCCGGATGCAGGAAGGCGTTATCATATCATCAGGAAAGACATACTCAAGAAAAACGCAAAACAGCGCGAACACACGAACAAAGAAAATGAAACGAAGAAAAATGTTATGAAATGGTGGAAACGGAATTTGAACTCCGAATGATAAAAGCGCATTCGATACCTAAAAAAAAAACTTAAAATGAACTAAATTAACTTCGGGATTCATTCCAAATATCACTGCCCAGACATGTAACTGGAAATTCGTTAACATGTACGTAACTCACGCCTTTTATTTGAATTGTCGTCCTTCCGTTTTCAGGAAAAATTCAGTAGCGTCACATGTGCAGGACGTTTCCTTCACAGGTTCACTTTACTGAAGTGAGTAGCAACGCGTGACTGGCGTTACCTTAACCTTTCACCTATCTTTGTGCCTTTCCAGTCCCGCTCTCAGGTCGTTTCCTCATATCTTTCTGTATCCTTGATGAAGAAGGGGATGGAAAAGTAAAGAGATTCCATCATGAGCAAGGGTGTGGGGGGGGGGGTGGGGGTCAGACCCCTGAACCCTCCCTTTGGTTGCGCCCCCTGCACATTGTACCTATCACGTCATAACCTTACCCCAAAACTCAGTTATGGCTTGGAAGGCGTCTTCTGCGTTAATTGTCCCTATTTCGGCTCCTCGAAGTGACTCGCAAGATTCTGTCATGATATGGGGGCACAACTTCCATTGTTTTGAGTTATCACCATGGTCTTCCTCGCTATCTCCAGATTTCTTCAGCCAGCCCATCTATATTTCTTGAACAGATTTTCAACAATATGTTCGATCAGCTGGATTGTCGGAGTAACATTCCAAGCCAGGGTACCTCTTCGCTTTCATCAGATGCTTCGAGCGAAAAAAATGAAAAAATCCCAGCAGACCACTTTGCGACTTTTTTTTTCTGCAGGCATTTAGAAACGCTCAAAATGGAACAATCATTAAACGGGATGGGACTGTCTGGGGCTAACCCCAAACTCAGCCCACTTCTTGAGAACATCTAGATGTCACAAATCTGGAGCCAAGTAGCATGATGAAAAAAGTCAAATTTCTCGAATTAAACACGACGTCGTGTTGTGATGTCACATGTAAAGTTAGAGTGAAAGTCTGCTCTTAATCTTTTGCATGCGCAATGCATATAATGTGACTATTAAAAAATTGAGTCTTCAATCGTCTAATCAACTTAAAACCCATTTATTTCAGTACTTGGGTTTAAGAAATAATCTATTACTGCCATTCCACAAATAACGTGAAAAAGAGTATGAACTTCTAGCACATGATAATCACTTCTTAAACACAGTTCCCCATTGTTACAAATCAATCCCAAGAGTAGTTAAACAGCACATGACTGAAGATATCCATATATAGGCAGCCCTTAGCACTCACAGCATCTTCAAGTGGGAGAATCACTGTTTCAGTTCTTCAGCAGTTCACACAGCATGATGACTAAAAAAAATAAAAGAATAACTCATTTTTCTCTGAGGGAAACTTGATCCTTGAGGGAAAATGGCTTCACAATGAAATCCTGATTGTCAGTTTCATCCAGTAGTTCACATTAGCCTTCGCCCACCTGTGAAGACATATTCAAAAGAAAAGTTCAGTTAAGACATCATTCTATGAATGAAATTCCAAAGGGATGGGCATTATGTAGGCTATTTACATGTAAATAGGCCATTTTCTGGCCCTTCAAGATGAAAAACTTTTAACTTATATGGAATTAATGAGGAACTCAACATTTCAGCAAAATGATGCACAATGGGCCTCCCAATTTCCCAAGCCAAATGATATATTAATATTTTCCATGAAGCTAAAAATGCTATTATTGAAAATTCTGAAGCAACATAATTCTCACAACTTTGAACTGCTTCAAGAACTTAACACAGTCCACAGAGACACACAATCCCATCATCTATAAAATGCTTTTGATTTAATCTCAGCTTCCAAGTTTCTGCCAAAAATCATACCCTTAACTACATCACTGAACCCTATGTTGCTCAAAGGTTTTCACTCTAGGGTGACCAGACGTTCCAGTTTTACTGGAAACACTGGGTCAGTCCTGGTTTTTCAGGCTAGGGGCTATGTCCCAGTTTGAATTTTCCTTTCCATTTTGGTGCCCTGGTTTATTCACATTGCAAGGAAGGTATTATTTTAAAATTTTCTGATTTTTCCTGAAAAAAATCTGGTCACCCATAGTGACATAGTGACAGAGAATTTGAAAAAATGAGAGGCAGAGACATGGTATCTGTATTACACAGAACACACAATGGTAAGAGAATTCACCAAATCAGGAATGGCCTGAAACTGTGGAAAATTTATACTTTAATAAAATGCAAATAAGATCTGCAGGGAGCAAAAAAAAATTAATCGGAAAGAACATTAAAGTGTCGTGATGACACACATATAGAAGAATAAACATGAATAGGGCAGAAGAAATATAGTGTGCATGAGTTTTATATGCAAATGCTGTCATCACAATGTAGAGGAGAAATTAATGACTGTACAAAACCATTTATGGGAGATCCCATGTTGAATGACAAGTCATATAGGTGAGAAAGTGACATTCTGATACCTGCAAATGAAAAAATGCTGTAATATTTCTGTGCATATTTTCATTTCAAATGAGGTCCCCCTATTAACAGTTTTGTACAGCCATTGTCATCTCCTTTCCTACACATTGTTCAAGATGATGATTCTACCATCTGCTAATAAAACTTGTGTCCCCTACAGATTTTACATATGTATTTTCTGTTATTCTTCCACCAGTTTCATAACCACATCACAATCTTTTGAGTCATGAATTATATAAGACCCTGTATACCCATATTTCTTGCCTAGTGTCAATAATTTACTGTTGGGCTCAAGGCATGACGGAGCAGCACACTCTCTCCAAAAATTCTCATTGGTGACAATTTGTTCAGCTGGGTTCATTGCCCAGTAGTTCTTACTACTGTCTTGAAGGTAAATTAATCATACCATGACAAAATTGACAGGCTCAAAACTCCAAGTAAACAAGGAAAAAAACTTACTGGGGATCTACGGGCCTGTTCCAGAGGAACCAAGGAAAATCCTTGGATCTGAGGAGATGCAAAACCTTCTTCATTTCTCTCAGCACATTCCACTGCCAGGTTTTTCTTATCCAGATTCTCACTCACTGGCTTTTTATGCATGGCTATTGCATTTGCTATTGCTTGCAAAGCAGCTGCAGAATTCTCTCGCATTTGCTTCTTCTGCACCACTAACTCTTCTTCTAGGACCTGAATTTCACAAGAAGCATTATCAAATCCTGCACTCAAGAACTATTAGCTATTACATTATGAATCAGAACAAAACAGACTTGCAGACATGGCACAGGTCGAACTTCATCAGGTACCCGAAAAGCTTGCAATGACTTCCACAACAAAGTTGTCTCATCCAAGGAAACCTCAATGAGGAGACCCTCAACAAGGAGTTTCTCTAGTTCCATATACTTTTCAGAGGTGGTCATCCCATAGAGTATTGCTGCTAAGAAAACTCAAACATGAAATTATATTGGATGACACATTACATCAACTCAACACGATATGATGTGACAGAATGTGATCACAGAAGTGTCATGCCAATCAAAGAAAGACTGATCAAGGCAAAAACTGCAGAGCTGATATTGACTAGTGAGGAATGGCCTTGAATTTTCCAAAGACTCCCTTCTGAGAATTATGAAATGAAATTTAGGGCATCTCCAAAATCTTGACAGAAAGGAGGTTAATAAAATGTTCATTATCAAGGTACAGTAGGTGTCACTTATTGTGATCACTATGGTGCATGAAGAACTTGATAACATTAACCAGCTGATAACAATATGCAGCAATCGCTGAGGTTTACCCCACCCATCTTAGGATAAACAAAGAAAAGAATAAAACCTGGAAACATATGTAGTTGAAAATTTTATTTTCAGTTTAGTTTAATGGTTCATTCAGTCAAATTAATTCATTTCAAAAAGTCTGCTTGAACATAAAATAATATAATGAAAAATGTTGTCCTGTATGATACAAAACACAAATATTTAAGTCAGAAGCTGGTTCTGAATAGGGTTATTTTTACGGCTTGGGTATACAATTTTTGATAGCAGTAGCCAGCAGAGTTGATTATACAGTATTAGCAGAAAAAAGGTCAAAATAGGATTTTGTTTTGGTTTTTGTGTTTTGATAACAATAAATGACTGATAACATTAACCAACGATAACAATAAGCAGTAACCACTGTACTTCTATTCATTTCACAGATGCATTGCATTTTTTTTTTTTACCGAGTATGGATTGCCTTCACCTACCATAAGTGCAGTCACTCAGTATGCCAAACTATCTAGCATTGTAAAACACAACTGACTTGTCATGAAGCAATCTGTCCTCAAATCTTACACTTTCTCCCTTTTTTTCAAGACCTACCACCCATTGAAAAACATGAAAAGCAAAAGAATAATTGAAAAATATTGAAATTTCATCATAGCAAAATTACTAGGCAGGCAGACATATTTAGTCTCATGAATGTGATATTCATTTCAATCCAAACTATCCTTCCTTTCTTACTCAAACTAAACTCTTCTCTAATATTCAATTAATCCAAACATATAAGCTACCATAGAGTAATGCTTTAAAAAGAAATTGCAGTGTTACCATTGGTAGAAACTGAGCAAGTGGGGAAAATCTTGCATTATTTCTCTTAGTTTATTTGGACATATCTAGGGCAGGACCCAAAATTTCTTCAAAGGTAAGCCATAAAGTGGAGACTCTCTTCCATTTAATGCAGTTATGTACCTCCAGCAAAACTGAAGCTAACCCAAGCTGGTCCATGCCACATGGCACATTTTATTAACCTCTAGAAGTCACCAAAAATATTCAGTAAAACATACCCTCAGAGTACACATGGTCAGGGCGGTCAAATCCAGACTTGGAGGTGCTGACGACTTTGGGCATCTCTAACAAAGCCTGTCGTGCTCGGGCCTAGATTCCACGTGACAACATGGATGGATTTTAAAAAGGGAAAACCTAATCCTTAAGAAACAAGAGTGGAGAACATCCTACCTTGTGGACAATACAAAATGTTAGTTTCAAAGTAGCCTACTGCCTAACCTAGACTCATATGGCGAAATCTCTCATAATGAACCAAATCATGCATTAAAATAATCAATAATAAAATAAAACATGGTAGAATTTAAGCAACAGTAATAAAGGCCATTAATGGCTATGGAGTAAGTAGCACATAGTTTCATTGATGCAGAATACCAGCATAACAGTGGGATAGGCAGCAAAAATAACAATTACAAAGCTGTTTCTGTTGATACATAGTAATAATTAGAATATACATATAGGTTGAGGTAGGAATGGTTATAGTATATCTAGTTTTACCTATACATAAAGTATATACAGGGAGTTCACTAAGTCCCTATTGATGTAAATTGGCACAGCTCCCAGAATGTTCCAAATCTGACAAGGTTCCTCACCCTTCCTTCTCCTCCAGGCAGTACAAACATTCCTTTCCTTCACAAATGATCTTGACGAGGAGATTCTTGAGCATAACAATCAAATGTGATCTTCCACAGAAATTACTGGATATCATAAATATACCCTGAGCTATACATGTCCTTTTCAATTCTCCATATTCACATTTTCTCAATATCATCATTATTTTCCATATATTCAAGATATTCATTTCCTTGGTAATTGAAGTTCTTTATCCATTCCTTCCCTACCTAGTCCTCTGTGATTTTTTTTCAGCATTCCATTACCAGATTATCAAATTCCAGAACCCAATAATGACCTGACTTCTGCATGAAATATATGGATTGAAAGAATAAAGTATGTTATAGAAAAGACCATAAATAGGAAAGATTCCTTAACATGGTTGAAATATATGAAATCCAGAAAGTAGAAACCAGGAACATGAGACAAAAGACTGTCACAAAACAGGATGAATCTTTCCACTCATGAGAGAGGTGGAGCCTGGTTGGAATGGCTAATTCAGCATATTCAAAAGAAAACTTGTGTTCATTATTGTTAGGAAAGATTAAGCATTAGGTCACACATTCTCATTCCTGAATGGAACATGCCAGTTTTATATTATTATCATGGGTTCTTAAGGCATCATACAGAATGATGGGAGTGTTCCTTCCTATTGATATAACAAGTCTAAGAGGCTTACCTTTCTTTCCTCAGGTCAGATTACCTCACAATGGGCTTACCATGTCCTTTTTGTATTGAGGTCAATAGTAGGGAGATGCTCCCCCATTGAATTAGATTGAATGTATAGAAAATGTAGAGCTAATAAAGTAGAATGTCAGCTCTGTCACATTGTCAAGGGGAGATGTAGAATACATCTTTCATCTAAATCTTTCTTTGATGTAACTTTACTGAGGAAATTCATAACGACCCAGAAGATTTATGTGAAATTTTCATGACATTCTTCATAAGCATTCACTGAAATTTACAGAGAAATTATGATGTTGATTTTTATTTTGCATTAAAATCCTTTTCTTCCCCATTTATGAATTGTGCTTTGCAGTGGTGATGGGGTGTAACATTCCTTAACCTTTCAACTGATAAGTAGAGGAGGTATGTTCCAAAAGGCTGTACTGTTTAGTGTGGACGACATTCAAGCGAAGAGACAGGCTTACATTTTTCTTGCAAACATGGTCTCCCTCCACAAGATACAGTCACCACAGTTTTAACCAGCCTTCATAGCACTGGACAATCTTCATTGGTACGTTTAAACCACTGGTAAATCATACTTCCATGAGCAACTCTTGATGTGAAATGATGGGTACTCCAAAGCAAAGCCTCAGCCTGCTTAACAGTCAGAAGTTGCTGGGAGCCAGATCAGGTGAATATGGTGGATGAGGCAAGGTTTTGATCCCTGTTCCATCAGAAACTGCCAAAATGTGTGCAGTGTGAGGTGGTGTGTTGTCCTGGTGAAGGATGAATTTGCCCTTCATGAACTGTAGCAGAGTTTGGTCACAGCAGGAAGTAGCTCTTTTGAAGCAAGTCCCAGTAGTATTGGATATTGTTTGTCCTTTGGGGATTGAATGTGCCAGAACAAGCCCATGCATATCCCAAAAATATTGTGTAAAGAACCATGTCAATCAACGTCCCTTGTCTGAATTTCCTCAGAGGCAGTGAATCACTGTGCTTCCATTGTTTGGATTGTCTTGTGGTTTCCAGATTGAAGAGTGGGATTCAGGACTTGTCCATGGTAATGACTTTATCCAAAAACTCTGCAGGGTTGGCTGTATGTCTTGTCAAGAGCATGTGACAAATGTCCAAGTGCACCTGCTTCTTCTGGTTGAGCATGTGGGGGCACCCAACATGCACTGACTTTGCTCATGTCAAGCTCTTCTGTCAATATGCAGAAGATACTCCTGAGAGACATTCCCAGAGCTGGGGAGATGTCATAGGCAGTCTGCCATCTGTCCTCCATAACCATCATCTCCACACAGCAAACATTTTCTTCAGTCAATGAAGTCCCTGGTCTTCCTGAGCAATCTGCATCGTTTGCAGATTCTCTTCCCCAGAAAACTCACAAACCCAATTGTGAATGGTGCAGTCAGCCATGGTAGTATTGCCATAGACTTCCCTATGCTATTGGTGAATTTTAGTTGCTTGTTCTCCACATGCCAATAAAAGTTTTACACCAGCTTTTTGCTCATCATGAGTGAAGTTAATTTTTTGTGCCATTGTTCAAAAATAAGACTCCCAAAAACGTATGCAATGTCCACAAAGTTTACAGCTGACAGGCAAGAGACCAAGGATGATATTGGTGCCCATAGTACAGCACTGCACTCTGGCTGAGTCTGGCTGAAAAAAGGTACAAACTTTTGGTACAAACTTTTGGAAAGCACCTCATATATCTGTCCAAGTTGAACTGGTTTGCATCTGCTCACAGCATATATTTCCATTTTCTTCTTAAGAATTTCCAACAAATTCCAATAGAGAGTAAAATTTGATAATGAATTCCAATAAATTTTTAGCCTTTTTTGAGAGAAAGGAATTTACAATTGAACATAAAAAACATAGCAATACAGGAATGGCTTAAGGAAAAAACCCAATCAGTTGAAGGGGTAAGGAGGGGAAAAATTAACTGTCACTCTTAGTAGCAGATGAGAAAATAGCATTCATCCTCTTGGCCAGAAGGGTTCTCATCTAAAGGCCTTCTCCTTAAGGTACCAATACCCCATTGCAAAAAATTTTTGTTGAAATAAAAATCGTTTTCACAAAAATTGGCTCAAACTATACTTCTGACAATGAAGATTGCTCTCCCGTTTGAAAAAAATAATGAAACTTAATTAAATAGGTGTAATTTTAACTGATTAATGTGGTACTGTCTTTTTTTAAATCTCCTTAGTACTGACTTTGACCCTTCAGTTAGAAAAGATGAAAAATTAAAATTTCAACACCATAATTTTTTTTAAGTCTAAAGTTCACTTTGGATTTCACCCCTAGGTGCCTCATTCCACGGAGTCAGTAGGTTCTGTAGTTTTTGATGACCTATGCGTATGGCTCACAGGGTGCTAATTCACTTCTCTTATTGATTTCCTGAAAACTCATTTTCATCATATGTACTGGGCTCTTGAGCATGATATCTCAGGACCTAGTAGAGATATCCATATGATTTTTGGCATTAAGTTTCCTTGTATTGGTGGCCGTGGAATGATGAGAGCATTTCCCAATATTGTGGGCGTGATTGGAATAATTAGCATATTAATATGTAAGAAGTAGGTCAAAATGGAGAAAAAAATTTTAATTGGTTGAATACTTTTCTTCCGAGGGAATTTCATAAAATTGGTCCATCATTCCAAGTTTTGTGATGTCTTTTATTATGTGTGAATTTCATCCATTTATATTCAAGGATTTTTAATATATTGTGTTTGAAATGTTGCTACTTTTTTCCACTTTTTTCCATATTGACACCTAATTAGCACAATTAATGCAAATTATGCATTAAATCTAAATAGTTTTTCAAGGCCTCCAACTTGATATGCAGAGTTGATTTAAACCACTGGAACTAGCCATATTGGTTTTAAAGGGGTATTGCTACCTTAAAGAGGGACATCTTGGCCCTGTTGAAGCTGGATAAGGACATGAGAGCTCAAAATGGGTAACACTGACTACCTGAATTGGCCAGAAATATCATCACTGATGAGCAGGGCATGTCCAATTAGGTGTCTCCATCTTTGCTGTGCTTGTAGAGAGCTTTACCTCCTGCTGTAGCATCACAAAATGGTATTGAAATTTCTCAGATCCCATAGCCACTTTCACCACAAAGTTAAATAAATTAACTCCTGTACCTATTGCAAAACTTGATGGTGAATAATTTTGCAACATCAAAAAGCTCCAGATCTTATACAGGGTGACCCAAAAAAAAAAGCACACTTTTCAATGCATATTTCAAGTGCAATGCTTTCATGGATATTTTTTCTGATTACATGTACTGGAAAGAAGAAAGACTTAGCTACAAAATGTTAGATTGAATTAGATACTTAGGTACTTAGATTGAATTTTGGTTCGAAAAAATTGGCATTCCACTCACCAACTCAGCTCAACATCCCCCCAATGTCCTGATACTCATGAGAATGGGAAGGGAAATGCTGACCTCAGTAGATGTCACTAGAATGTTTGGATATGCCTGCTGCTGTATGTTGGTGAGCACAGCACCAATTTTTTGTAACTGAAATTCAATCATTTTTTTCCAAGTCATCATTCAAGATATTTCAAGTCTGAAAAAAGCATTTTGTAGCTGAGTCTTTCTTCTTTCCATTACATGTAACTAGAAAAAAATCCTTGAAAAAAATCACACCTAAAATATGTATAGAAAAGTGTGCCTTTTTTTGGGGTCATCCTGTATCTCTGATCATTGTGTATCTCATATCTGTCCTTGCAGGGGCAAAGTACTCAAATTCAATAACTACTTGCTACAAGCCCTTACCGACCAATTAATGGCACGTTCAATGAGACTCTCGAGTACCACAGATTCAGGAAGATGCAGAGTAAGCCTCTTCATATCCATTAGAAGAGACAGGATGGACTGGAGATGGGGCCGTTGAGAACGTTCACATAATGGACATATGAATGCTTGTCCTTCTCCTGCCTTCCCATCTTCACTTGACTTGTCCCTCAGACCAAGCAGTTTAGAGAATGGGACACAAGTTGCTGCAAACACCAGGGATTTAATGGGTGACAGGCAAGGAATGAGAGCATACTGGAATAATGATGACCAAACATCTGCAGCATCAGAACACCATCAACCAGAAGGGAAGAATATCTAACATAATAGTTGTTGAGCCAAAATAATATGCAGCAGTTAAAGGGTATCAAGTGCTACAATATGTATGGCATGGAGTGGTAAAAGAATACGTCTTAGATCAGATTTCAAACATTTGGTCAGATACTCAAGGGCTCCAAAAGCCTTAATAGGGTATAAAGGTGAATAGCTAAAAATAAAAAATGCAAAACATCTGGATCCAAAAAGAAAACAAATGACAGGATTCATGCCCTCATGAAAGCATGTCCAACATTGAATTTGCAGGGATTCTAGAGTGATCATTGTGCCTTTGCTGCTTTCATCATTCACCTTCTAGGGCAATTCATTATGCCAATAAGCAATAGGGGCTATTCAGTGATTACTGATTTCCTATTTACTGTACTACTGATTGGCTCACCAGCACCCATACTTGAAAAATTCCAAGACTTGTCATCTGTGCCAATGACAACCCAGAAGATGAAAAAAAAAATTTTCAGGAACAAACTTGGATTCACACATTTCTATTTTTTATTTTCACCACTATCACACCACTCTGTGCCATGGGACTTAATTCTTCACTAATTTTCTAACTTGATCTCTTGGGAAAAAGTAGCAAAGGAAACCAGGCTCGCAATGCCTCCTGTCACATGAAAGAGACAGATGATGGACTTGGGAAGTGATGATCTTTACACAAAAGCAGTTTTTGGAGAGAAAAAGAAGGGAAAAAAAGTCATGTAGTAAATGAGTTCTTCCCACAATCTCCCTGTGGGAAAAAGTAGTTGTTTCCTGAAGGTATGAGGTGGGATTTGTCTTCCTAATGCTGAGAGGAGACAGGAACACTCCCTAGCAAGTCACCATTCTGTCAGCCACTGATGTCACCTCACCCTTATCTGTGCATGCAGACTTTGCTCTGCACTTTAGTATTTATACGAGGGTAGTTTGACAATGAGCGAAAATCTCAAGTACGCACTGAAGTGCGGCAAGGTGACTACCATGACATCCTATACTAACTGAGATTCTCACTCATTGTCAAACTACCCTCATACTGGTTTTACTATTGAATATTTTATATTAAAATTAATTTCATTTACCTGGTCCAACTGCACCCACCACCATGCTAAGTTTCATCACTCAACCCTTCACATTTCTCAAGTTTGGAAAATATGAGCTGTCTCAAAAAAAGTTAGCACTGCAAGATTAGATTTTTTTTTTGCACCATCTTGGGCATTAAAAGAAATTATCTGATGCATTTAAAAATATGATTGATTACACACTCATTTGCTAAAAACTGCATGAAAATTGATCCATTCTGAAGTGAGATATGAGAGCTGAAATTTAGACAAACAAATATACTCACAATCAGTATGTCACTGAAGGATGTACTGGTAAGCTGCTAAAGTTGTGAGCTTCTCCATGACCCCAGTATGGTTCACATGATATACAAGAATCATAATAATTCTTCTTGTGCTGATTTTAGAGACCTACACATGTATTTTCTGATTAAAGCATATCACCCACCAACGCAGAGGAAAATAAATTGGGTTTGACAGAAAACTTATGGATGCCAAGTGTATCAGACTGCTTACATTGCTGAATTCTTGTCCAGCAAGCAAGCAAGTAACATCATTGAATTTTACTCATTTTCATTTTTATTCAATTTCTTCCTTAAGAATTTAATTATATTAATTTAGCTTTCTGTCAAAGAATGTTAAATCTTTCTTCAGTCTTTAGCTTTTGGAAATTTTCATTTTGGGTTGATATATTACAAGAAATATCCATTCTTGGAATGTTAAATTCTTTTGAGGCACCCTGTGAATCTATACATCCAATTACCTATATATCTTCCTGCTTTCCATCAGCCACAACACAGGGAGAAAAAGAGTCTGCTGGGTTAGTCACCAGCCAATATGCCCTTCTTTCCCCTTTTTTTTCCTGCTTTGTCCAGTCCTTCATCATTCAAAGATGGGATTCATGAAGTACTGGATATTGTTGATGCAGGTGCTCTTCAGTCTCTGAAGTATCCCACTTCCATGCAACTATCAGTGGTGAAATAGATGAATTGAATAAGTAAAAATGTATCCAAGTAATAATAATTTAAAAAAACATCAATTGTATTGCTAACATTTGAAGCCTAAAAATCAGCTTATTATTCTGAAAATTTGGAAAGGAGTAAAAAAAAAGTAGGAAAATTTGTCAGCTCTATATAAAAGTGATCCAAATTTTCAGTCATCCATATTCATACTTTTTATATCAGCCTGAAACACACCTGAACTTTGACCTGCAACACAAATCATGTTCTAGTATGGTCCATAAACCAAGATACCATTTTGAGATTCAGTTGGAATGAATTTTTAGCATTACTCAGATAAGAAACTCCTCCAATAAACACTACTTCTATTCAGCATCACCTGGGACCAACCTTGTTCAGTACTGTCTCAAGAGAGGTCTTATAATCCAAAGTCAATCCAGCCAGTTTGGTTGTTCAGTAATGGTATGGAATGCATAATCCCTGCTTGATATTATTGTAGTTAGGCACTCCTCCAAATTGGTGTTAATCAAATCATTTTTCTGACATATCAAGGCACCGATAGTATACAAGAATCAAGCTTCTCACCATGGAAGACATCCCTGCACAGTTCACATTGAAGCATGACTCTTTCCTCAGGTCTCTGGCAGATGCAACATTCTATGGGTTCATCAAATTGTTGCTTGTGCTTGTTTTCCTCTCGAAGGAGCCACATCTTGAACATCTCTCTCTTAGCTGCCTCCTGTCCAAGTAAGGTAACTTTCAATACTTGTATGCTGAACTAAACAAGATGGAATGTGATTTATGAAGGGACTTTGACTGGCCCTGTATGTGGTTTGGACATCCATTCCTTGGTTGTTTAATTCTAATTCAACTCCAAGGATGGAAGCCAATTGGCTCATGCCATCTTCTTCTTTATAGGGGCACTTCTTCAGATGGGCCAGCTTGTCCTGGAAATTCTTGCGAGGACACAGCACCTGCCCTCCAAGAAAATCCTTCGATCAACATAATTCAAAGTTCAACTTGAATTTCACTGAGACAATTAGAAGAATACACACCTCAATGAGACAATAGCACATGTTGGAGCAAAGAAAGAGCTTTCTTGCACGATCTAGCCAGGCTACAGATGAGTGCAATTGTTCTTGGAGAGGTTGTAGCTGGCTTTGGACATCAGAGCATATTTGCAGATCCTGTCCTTCCAAGACCAGGGATTCCAGTTCATTAACAGATACAATCGATGGTGGTTCCTGAAAATATAAAAAGCCTTCAATCATTCTTTTATTCATTCAAACTAAAAAAAAATTTAAGAACAAAATCTCTGAAGACTAACTTCATACAGTATAGTATCAAAAAAGGCCAAAATTACCTGGATTCGCTCAATTTTGGCCAGCCAGTCCTTCACCTTTTTATGCAACTCCCTTAGAGCTCTGAGAGATGGAAAAAAACTGGGGAAGGCTTTGGCTTTCTTTATGATGTCCTCCACCTCCAGAAAGTCAGAACTGGGCAAGAATGCAAAAGCTAAATGCATCACATGAGAACATAATTAAAACAACCACATCAAGACCAAAATAATAATCCTTTCCAAGCAAAACTTCTCTACTTCCCATGTCTCATAAGACTGGTATATTGCCATAAGAAGAAAAAAATTCAAAATCTTAAAATAAAGATCCACAAATCCTCATTTCTGTTGTTTTTTTTTTTAAGTCAATGAATCATCTCTACAGACTTTTCCCTTTTTGCTGGTAGTGCAGTGTCACCTTTCAGAGGCTGTGGATTGCAATGTCCCATAGTTATTCTGTACTTGGCTTAATACAGAAAGGAGGGAACTGACAGGGTGCTTAGTGTTATGCTAGCATCTATCTCCATTTCCCAGGCTTGTAATATGAGCTCCTCCAGATGGAAGATTGTCTTCTTCAAAGTCTTCTGCTGAGTAGGAGGACAAGAAAGAGCCTGACCCTTAGCAAATTCCTTCTTCCATTCTTCAATTGAGCTTGGCTCCTGGCCATTCATGAAATTTTCCATGTTGTCCATCCAGCACATTGCTTCATAGACCTGTTAAAATTAATTTTTATTACCACAATAAATTCCATATCCCAAGGCTGCTGGGAGGGATATAAGACTCACCCTTTTCACATTCAAGCATTCAGGTAATGTGATTCCTAGGGAATCCCCAGCCTTCATGCATATCTTCAGATCCTCAATGGAGGGCTTAGGGACTTCCAGAAGGGAGTGAGCTTGATCAAGAAATGACTTAGTAGAAGAGAGTACAGCTGCTATAGTATCCCCACTTGGAATGAGGCATGCAAAACGATCCAGGTTTTCAGAGAACTGCTGGAGTTCTTCAGTAGTCAATAAACACCTCAGTTCTCCACCAGCTGACTGTTGCTCCCTAGGAGCATACAACCAAGAAAATGTACCTATACTATATATAGCAGCAAGAATTGACTGAAATGGACATTTTATGATAAAATGGAACATTGGTCCATATCCATGCCAATAATTGACAAAACATCATCAAGGCAAATTTTAAAATATAAATAGGATTTTATAGCTTTGAATGTATGAATGCAAAAAAGAATGTAAAAAAGGATCCTTGCTGGAGATATCAATAATAACCAGTCATACTGTGTGGAGATCATTAACAAAAACCTGATGGATATTGGAATGTATGGGCAGCTCACACTAACACCGTGGTTAGATGTTAGTCAACCTTAAAAAAATTACTCGAAATTAATAATAAAGCTTGGTAGCAATCTGGGCATCATACATAATTAGCTGATATCAAGGAATATAAGCCAATAACAGATACATCCAAAATAAACTGATACGCTGATACTGCTAACCTGTCCATCACTTGGAACAAATCATGTAGATTAGTTTCAGGCACTGCAACCTAAAAGAACACATTCAAAAAGTGAATAATTCTTCACTCTTTTAAATAGGAAAATCAAACAAGCTGATGTCAAGTATATCTCAGAAGAATGAATGAGGCCAGTGCAGTTTCATAATAACACCAACATGGGTAATCAATATGATGATTGTAATCTGCAAATAAATCATGGCCAGCATTGCTATTGCTCATATGATAGCAGCCACCTATCCATCTCATGATGGGACAGCATACTGCTTTGCTCACTCTGCATTGGTATAGCTTGTCATTATCACTAGACTTATGCCATTCCAAAAAATTAGGGCTCTACAATGGTGGTCTTTGGTCAATGGGTTAGAGACCAGTTATGATGTTGCTCTTATTGGAAGGTACCAGAGCCAATGGCGAATCGCAGAAAATAGTTGGAGCTAACAAATTATTGTATGACAATCTTTGAATTTTGAGGTTTGAGGATACCCTAACCACTGTGAGGAGTTTGAATACAGCACCCAATGCAGATCCCTACTCTCCAGCCAGAACCCTCATCACCCAAAGGACAACATGAAGATGAAACTTCTTCCATACCTGTCTCAGGTGTCTTAACTCTAAGGGGATTCCTCAGGTTAGGGAATATCAACATAAACCATGATCCCTCCAGATAAGAAAACCCCAACTTGCCCAATATTCTAGAAGATAGATCCCTTTTCCTGACGTTGGCATAGTTTTATGTTGACATCCTCGAAGTGTTCGGATATCCCAGCCAGGGAAAGATTTAAGCAGAGCACTTCTTCAACTGGTTTCATATACATTCGCATAGATTGATGCTAAGTAGGACAGGTAATCTATTCTTTGTCTGATTACTATTCCTACTATTCAATTAACCTTTCATATCCGTCCAACGTACACTGTATGACTGGCTGCTGCATCATATGCAGCCATCCAATGTACAATGTATTACCAGAGCAGCTGTAACTTGCTGCACCTCTCCTGTTGAGAATTTTTTAGCATATTTGAAATCTGACAGTGTCATCTGAAAGGTGGTGCTCCAAACTCAAATCCCAAATCCAAATCCAATAAACAATTACAGACGTTATGGCTGTTTAAGTAAAAATATGCTTTCTAGACATTTAAATCACAATCTCCCAAGAATGAGGTTATGTAAATGGATTTAAATCCCATGGTACTAAAGGGTTAAGTTTAGAAGTTGTGGTTGACACAAGATAAACAACAGGAAATCACCAATTACAATTCCCAAATTCTGATATATATACTTATGGCAAAGGTTATCTTTAAAGGAGTTGGTAAGAAGTTTTGGATACTTACTCTTTAAGTGCCATGATGCACAATTTCTTCCATTAATTTCTTTAACAGGTATTTTAAGTTTAAAAAATCTCCACTTGCAGGAAGGACTTGCAATAGAGCTGAAGACTGCAATTCATGCTTGGACATGTAAATATCGTAATGGAGGCAATGGTAGCAGCTGACAACAACTCAAGCTAAAAGTGAGGCAATCAAGATTACCTTGTGTGGTCTTGAGTGGGAGTCAACTGCTGGACACAGGATACCCATTTTTCAGCCTCATCAACTGCCTGCTGCAGAGTCTCAAACAATGCTGCAGTGAGGAAACTTTGCCAGTACAGTTTCTGTCAAGTCTTTTAATTTTCTAAGTTTGCCAAAAGGAGTGACAATAGGAACATGGCCATGCTAAGTGTAACTGACAAAGTCTCACTGACTGATTAAGTCATGGTCATAACTAATGGAGTTCATTTGGTCTCAGTCATGACTATATCATGTCAAAATCAAAATCAAGGTATCATTGACTATTCTGGAATGTCATCAGAACTTATCTCATGCATGCTCAACCAAAGGAAATATATTATTCTGTCTAGTTTTAGTTCTAGCAATTAAAAATATTCCTTTTGGCAGTTGCCAAGAATGTAACAACAAATAATAATAATAATAACCAGGCATAAATAGTATTCATCATGGTCACAAACTCAAACATTCAGTTTTGTCATAGTCATTCTAGACCAGGGGTGTGCAACCTCTATTGGCAGTGGGCCACATGGAAATGTCTCACTCTTCACATGGGCCATAGAATACAAAAGAAAAGACTCTTTTGTCCTTGGTGCATATGAATCACACTGATTGGCCAACAACCCTTACTTCCTCCCCACCCCTAGAAAATTCCGATGTCCAAAAATGGCCTTGGGCATTGAGAACCTTCTTCCTTGGGACATATGCAACAATGCCCACATGAGAAAAAATTAGAAGGAATTGAAAGGACTCAGTTTATTTCTAGTTACAAAGGGATGACCAAAGTTGTGATGGGTCTTGGGCCACCGTGAAACTCACCTTACCTGTTATCCCATTATGCATCACCAGGCCGCAAGAAGCAGGCCCATAGGCCACATGCAGCCTGCAAGTTGCACATCCCTGTTCTAGACCAACAGGGATATACATTCAAAGTGAAAAATTGTAGCATTGTCATGTTTATGCCAGCCATAGCAACATTAAGTTGGATACAGAAAGTCATGGATACTCACCAACTTGACCATTCCCTTTGGGATTTATGATTGATTTCACACTGCTAAGCCAGTGGTGGAGTTCACCAGCCTTCAGCTTCATGCTCTCACGCATAGCCACAAGCTCCTTCAGGGTGTAGCGATAACAAAGTTTGTGTGCCGAACGTGGACAATATTTGCACATTCTCTTGAAATGGTGAAGACAGACCATCTTCTTGGTTCGGGGGCAAGAGACAGCAGAGAGGAAGCAAATTGTTTTGCAAACTTTACACTGCCGCATGTCATCAGGCAGCAATCCAAATGCTACACGTTCAGCCTTCTTCACTCCAGAGTCCAACACAGACCTTTGAAAGTGGACAATTCATAGGACTCAGGGTATCCCAGAATTATGCAAAGCACTTTCAAGCTCCTTCTATATTCCATGCTAAGCAGCAAGACATGGCATTTTGGAAAATGGAAAGAGAGAACTTACTGACTTACATTATGTAGAATTAAAAAATATAAAAAAAACCTTACAGAGGGAGTGAAGTTGAGCTCACCAACATAATCTAATCATAATCATAAGCATTGGCAGTATTTTTTGCTCTTCTGAGACTGAAGTACTCATTTCAGGTCCACCTCGGGGTTTTCATGAGCCTCAGTCCATAATTCAACTTATTTTTTCACTCTAAGCCATAAGTTTAGTGGGTTACACATCCCACACTAATGTTTTTCCTTTGAGTGCTATTTAATAACATCTTTCTACCACTAGCAATAACTTTTTGTTAGGGATTAAGGCCTATGTAATAAACAATTTTCTTTCTGTGGCTGAGAGCATGTTGCAGTGGAAGAGACAGCCATCATGACAAGATATACCAGAATGAAAATAATACTTTGTTAAACGATGTTATGAGGATGATGATTCTTACAAATAGAAGATTGAATTCTGGCACTGCAAAAAAATGCCTTTGATACATACAGCACTTCAATTGAACATGCTAACATTATCTGGTTAAAGAAGAGACATTTTGGTCACAGATATCACAGATATGTGATAATGATCACACCTGGAGTTGCAGCACATTACATATCCCTCTGTAAACCCCCCTAAAATTTTCAGCATTCATAAATTTATTTCTCAAATGAGGAAAGTAAGCACATGATGTGCAGGCTCTTTTGGGTTCCACAAAGAGATTGAAGACTCACCCATCCATCTCAGAAGCTTCAGGAAAATTGAGCAGGGGCTCCAAAGAGGTTTCTTTTACTATTCGCATGTAATCAAAAGTTTCATTTCTAGACCAGAGAAATGGTTTCGGGTCCAAATGTTACACACAGCCCAACAGGGTATAGAAACTTGTGTAACAAGTGTGACAGATAAAGAGAAATAAGTTTTTCCATATATTCACACACCTTGGCAAATTACAGTGTATAGCAAAAGACCCCTTTTAACTAAAAAGTCTCTGCTCTTAACAACTGCAATATTCACAAAACTTACACTCTGCATAGGCTGATTGTGTTTGCATAAAGATCTGTGAAATTTCATCAAGATTCATGATGCCAAAGCAAGCCTATAAGCAGATACTCAAAGGAAGTTGAATATTGAAAATCAGCAGAGGGTCATTACTGGTACTTGAGGGGAGGATGCTTAAGCTTTGTGCTGTAGGTACAGACAAGGAGTCTTGTCAATCTGCAATTCTCTGGTTCACTTTCAATTTCCTATTTCTTTCACATAATCACTCATAACCTAGCTGCAGTGAAACAAATTAGCATGAAATTTAAAAGTGTGCTAATAAAGCATCAATTTTGCTATACCGTCTCTGTTCACAAACCAGACCCCTCTCCTTGATCTTCCTTCTTACCCATTCATCCATATTTAAGGATATCTACAAGATCTTAGTACATTCCCTCCATTTCCTCTCATTCTTTCTATCCCCCTCCTTCCCTCATTTCTATTTCCTTCTCTCAACCATCTTTTTTTTTTAAAGTCATGCCTTCTAAATCAAATGCCACTCTTCCTCACAATCTGGTTATCAGGTACAAATCTTTCTCCACATCTAAAAAAAAACATACTGACATTTACCATAGTACATACCGTCTTAGCTCTTTCTCAGAGTCAACCATCTTGCATATGTCTTCATAAGCACCAAGAGCCATTTCTTTGCTGATTTTTCGTGCAGTAGCCACTTGGCAGATTAGTTGATCATGTGAAAATACACATTGGTGCCGGAGATGTGAATGGTGGAGGATGGATTCACGGCTGACACTTAGCCAATCAAAGGGGCAAAAGTTCACAGCCTCAGCAAAACTGAAGCCCTGGTTGAAACCCGCATGAAAGGAACGGGGGAAAGTCACAATGAACTCCCCTGGCTTTTGAAGGGTGTGGTAGACTGGCACACCTTCATTCATGAGGATGTTAGGATTGATGATGATATCTTGCTGCTGCAGGAGATCTGGCTGAGATTCAAAGAGTTCTGGAGCAGCATTGTGGATGGCAGTTTCAAAGGCATCTGCCTTTGCACCTGCAACCCCATACCATGTCCTTGGTTCACCCCTGAAGGAAGGGAGAAAATCTTCAGTCAGTACAAGTACTAGTGTTTGAAGCTGAAAGAATGCATGAGAAGTTTGAACCAATGCAGGTAGTTGACAGAGTAGCTCCAATGGTCATCTGTATGCCAGCAGAATACAGAAAAGCACATTCCAATGTACACCTTTGGAACCATTATCTTTGACACCTTGTTGGTTCCTAGAAACCTGAGTACTGAACCATCCAAACAGGGCAGGTTGTTCAGGTTCCATGGAGATTCCACATATTCCTGGAAAGAACCATTCCTTACAATAACTCATAATGATTAATTAAAATATACTGCTGTCAAAGTAAAAATTTAAGTCTGACTCTTCATTTTAAAAGTGCAACCAGGTTTGAGACATAGTCCATTTCAAATGATAGAGTTTGCAGACTTTTCAGGATGAACAAGAGATCAAAAGCACAGTTTCAAATTTTAATACCATACATTTTTTATTCATTCAAACTAGATACAAACCAATTGTGTATGTAGTGATAGGATGAAGTTCATAATGATGATTAAGTATTTGAATGAGGATTAGATTTTAATCTGTGCCCTTGTCCAAGTAATGCTATGCCTCATTACACAGTTTAAAAAAGATATTCATCACATGGTGGCACAAAACAAAATGCAAGGAAAAGGTTCATAGAAACGTTTCTGCTATATATCCTGTTACTATCACATCAAACCAAAGACAGAGTTTGTCTCATGTTGAAGTTGCAAGACTTATAGAGTAGTTACAACAGGCACAGTTATGACTTCAGACTCAAAAAAATAAAAATGAAATAGGGCCAGATCTGGACCACTTTTGCTAAAGGAAGGAGAGTTTGTTTTCAACCTAAGAAATCTTGATGAACATGAGAAGGCCATTTTCAGAGATGTGCTTCCATTTCTTTTGTCAATGATCCAACACTCAGTGGACAATGTAGGCAGAAGGATCAAGAAGTCCAAAGGAAAAAATGGAAGCTATACAGAATTTTGTGACCTTATAATAATCACAGCAAGAGAACTACTGAATATCAGGAACTTTTACTTCAGATATAATCCTAAAAGATCACCAACAAATTATAACATCAATGGCTCTCTTGTGGGTCTCTTCAGTCTGGGTGTTGTGGATTTTTAACACTTTCATTGCCAGACACACTGACTCATTGTATAACCATGTTGCCATTGATACCCTGGCAATGAAAGTGTTAACCCTTTGCAGTCCACTGGCAGACATTGTCCAACAATCTCCATAGTGTTACAAATAAAATGGACCAGAAAGGGTTATTAGTTACTTTTGAATACCCTGTGAATCAGTTGATCCAAACCTATGAATTGTAACTCACTCCTGGATTGATGTGGAGATCTGATTTGGATGGCCAAGGGCCAAGGACACAAAATGCATAGGTTTAGTTTTAGCTTCATGTTGTTTGCCCACCTGTATTATTATTTCCTATTGGCCAAAAATTTATTTAGCATTACAAAGTCTTCAATAAGCAAAAATTTAGGTTAATCTATTGAAAAGGTCAGGAAACACTGCTGTTTATGGAGGTTGACATAACAATATGCCTAACATTTGCATGAGCTATGATGCATGATTATCTTGTCCTTCCTGGTGGCCAAGTACTGATAAGAGTTTAGCCAAGCAAGGCAGGGAAAAATCATTATTTTTTTAAATATAAATGTATTTTTTCCCTATTTCTTGCATTTTTTTGCACTTTTCTATTGCAGAACTCTTGGCACCAAGAAAATGACTACTAGCTACTTTTTACAATGGCATGTATAAGGCCTGAATTTTCATGTTTCAGACGAATTTCTGAATGCAAAAAAAGATGCACAGGGTGGCCCACAATTGTCTCCCCAAAAGTAAGAGCTTATTACTCAGAAAGTACACATCCAATTTCAATGATATATGACTCAAATGATAGCCAATTCAATATATTTTTACTGAGGGAAATTTCAGAATTCCATAAGAAACTGGAACAAAGTGACACCATAACAAATGAAAGTACCCATATCGTGCAACTAAAGTCTGTAAATATCACAATCCCTTCTGAATTTTGCACTTCATTCGTGTATTTTTCATGCATCGCAAAGGATTGTCTGTCATGGGTGACCTCTGTATCCTTCAGAAGACGAATACTGCCATTTGGTTTGTTAATCTGAAGAGAGAAATTTGTATAGTGAAAAATTGGAAATTTCTTCAGTGTGGGTTCAAATGCCTCAGTTCCTGATGAGAAGATCAGGAAGGCAATTCATAAGTGGTTTCTGAAAATGAAGAGATTCATAGACGGACCTATGACAACCTGTGCCTATACGATAACCTATGACATGCTGAAACAGGCCATTAGAGACACCTTCGCCACAGTAGGACCAGGGATGATTGAAAGAATTCTGCTGGCATTCAAAGAGAGGCTGCATAAAGTCACTGAAAATTATGGAAGTCATATAGAACACTGGTGATCTGGCAGTTTTCATTTGTGAGGATGTAACTTTGTTCCATTTTCTTATGGAATGCTGAAATTTTCCACAGTAAAAATATTTTGAAATGGCTATCGTTTGAGTCTTATATCATTGAAATCAGATGTATACTTCTTGAGTAACAAGCTTTTACTTTTGGAGAGACAATTGTGGACCACCCTGTATAAATATGGAATTTGGTCCTTCAAAGCCACTATAAACATCATTTGAAAAATAACAATCAAGAGCACAAATAAGGTAAGGGGATTTAAATTACATGATTTTTTTTTAAATCAGTCAGTTCTGCTCATTCAGTCAATAGAATGCAATGTTACTGATGTGTGGGCAGACCAGAAAGAATGTCATCATTTCCTATGGCAGTTTGGTCAATGCAAATTGATTTTTTCTTAAGGAAAAGACAACTCCTAAACCCTTATTCCATCATGTCCCATAGAAATAATGGGCAAACTGAAAAAATTGCTTGATTAGCAAAGAGGAGAAAAAGACACTCCATGCCTAGGTAATGGCACCTAAAAACGCAAGCACCTCTCCTCTCTACTTTTTGTACTAGCCACTTTCAGGGTACCAGTAATGAGAGTTCAGCAAAAATGAGAACTTGGGCTGATTTTGGGTTTTCCAAAGTTGATTATAGTAATGGCACCTTATCAGAAGGATGCAAATTCTTGGAGTTCTTGGTTGGAAAGCCAGATCCATAATCCAAGGTATTAAGAATGGCATGTTCCACTGTGACCTCCTCATTGAGGCTAGAAAGCACCCTCCAAAACTCCTTTTCAACTACATCAGGTGGCACCATCTAGCCAAGAGATGCTGCTTTAATTAACTGGAGGCACACATAAACAACATTGGCTTCAAGAGCTGATTTTTTACATGAACAGGCAAGGTGAAGTAGTCAGACTTGAACTGGTCTGCCATGGCTCCAAATGTGGCTAGGGTGAATTCCCTCTGCTTCGGTTCCAGACTAGGTGATACATATGGCCAGACCATCTCCTTTGATACACACTTTGGGCACTTCCAGTCACCTATGAAAAGTGAAATGAACACTGAAAATATGGAAACCCATGATGAAGCACTATACCATACATTCGTTACAAAAACAACACCAGAAGGGATCTCAGGTGGAGGAAGAAGCAGACAGAATGTATGATAGCTGTCACTGCATCTCTCACACCAGAGCATCTGCTCTTCAGTACTGCTTTGCAGACAGACCACACAAATGCACTTGGACAACTGGAAGGCAATAATTAATCATTGTCTTAGTTTATGGCTTCCCCTAAGCACTGTCATCAACAAAGGTAAAAACTAACAGAAATAACTGTCTTCTTTTTGATGCCCCTGCAGGTGACTTCTACATTGCGTTTCCCACTGAAGCCACTCATTTTTGGACCAGCTGCATAAAATCTCAATCTCTTCAGCTCCTTGTTCCCTGTCATCTCCAGCACTTCCTGCAAAAAAAGGAAGCAAGAAGTTCATTCCCAACATTAAATAAAAAACAGTAGTTCAAAACTGCCATAAGAAAGCCTTGGATTTAAAATAGGCCTTTTAGCACATTAATAGAACCCAGGTAAACACACTGCATCAGCTAACCTGTGTATCCATCAAGTCTTGCTCTTCAAGTTTGGCTTGCCTGGAGCGGCAGGTGTATCGCTCTGTAGAGGACTTTATTTTTGTTGCCTGCTGATTACCTACCATATGTGAGATGTAGCCTATTTCTGGGGGGCTCATCATCTGAAATATGAGAATAGTCCAAAGATGCCAACTACATGGGGGCCATCAGCTTTGAACTCTTCCATACATTTGATAGGGTTGAGGTGAGATATATATGGAGTTTGATAAAACAAACTATCTCTGTCAATACTTATATGATATATCAAGCACCAGCAAGGATCACAAACTAACATAAGAATATGGAAACAAATTTTGAAATACAGGGAGTTTGTGAAATGATTAATTATTAGTAATGTCTATCTATATCATCAACTTTGAAGCAATAAAAAAGGGGGGAAAACTGGAATGTCCCACAATCTATCATTTGAGGAACAAATGGATCCAGTGACAATTGGAGATAATTTTTTAAAATCACATTTTCCTCCAAAATAGAGGGGTTCAATAATGCTTCAACCAAAAATCAAGAACAAGGCAGTAACATTTGAAGGGAAACATAACTCAGTATTCTGTATCTGAACAAGGATCAGATATGTTAATTCTCGCTCACATCTAAATGGAAGTTGGAAAGATGTGACATAATTTTGAGGTCTATAGACAATCAATTTACAAACACAAAATGCAGTTACTTTAGACCTAATAACAAGTGTCATCCATTGCACCAAATGAAAAGTGTTGAATCCAATAACCTTCAACACCTTATCCATTATCTTAGAACTCCAGAACTTCCATAAGTCTCAATTACTCTGATGACATCCCAACCAATTATCAGTATTTTCCACCATAGTTCACTTATTTTATAATACAAGTAGCATGCATTTGTGCAGAAAAACTTGAGCCTCTGATTACTTTCTTTTTTAGATAAAAGTGCAAAGATACATTACGCTGCTTGCAGTGGTTTACCAGCCCCCTAAAGATAAAATGCTGAAAAATATTACATTGCCTTCCAGAATGCTGCCCCATTGCTTTGGCTCCCTCCTTCAAGAAGCACACCAACTCCACTTGGAGGATGGTGCACATTGTTTGAAAGCTTCATGTAAAAGGTGAAGCCTATAACCAATGAATGGTCAAGTACAACACAAACAAAAGGATATAATGAGCTGAAACTTGGCAAGTAAACTACTGCCAGCATGGGCTTCTAAGAATGTAAGAAACAAGTATCAGAAATGTCTTTCAAAACCCTACAGCCTCCACTTCTCAGCATTTTGGCCATAGATCCAATCTTTTCAAAATTTGCCACAAGTTCTTCTAACACTACTTCTGAGCATGGACCTTGGTGCATGTAGTGGCTTCAACAGTATGACCTCAAGGCAGCCTCCATGTTCCTTCAATTTTCAATAAACCTTCTGTATCAGTCTGATGCACACAGTGAACACTAACATGTTGACTTTTCACATTCCATGGTCACACACAGAACTTTTGTACCATTCACAGGCTACAAGACATGTAAATTGTGTGCTGGTGGTGCCATCTACTACCACTCTTTTCTTCATGGATTTGAGAAGCCCATGCAGCCAACAATTTACATGCCAAGTTTCAGCTTCCTCCTTCCACTGGTTTGTGTTGTACACGGTTATTCACCAATAAACTTTTGAAATGGGTCACACTGTATGTCCAAAAAAAAAAATGCCCCTCTCCTACATACCAATCTCCCTAAATGAGGCATCCATATTTGTTTCACCTTTATTTGTTTAACTTTATCTCATCGACAGCCCTAGTTATCTTGACAGCATGCTTTTCCTCCAATTCCCTACTTTCTGCAATAAACAATTTGCAAATAATGGGGCTGAGTCATTATTCCCCTAATATTATACAGAAGTTGGTGCATATGCTGGAGTTGGAATGTTCAATTGCTCCTGTAACAAAATCAGTCAGTGAGAGTTTAGAGTCTCTTCACCTGTTGGGCTAGCTCATATGGATACAAGAGGCGTTCATAGATTGGCTTCAGAAGTCTTGCATAACTCTTCCCTCTTGAATGGTTCATTTGAGCAGCAATCTCAGACCATTTGTTATTCAGATGCACTTTCTCAAAACCACCTGGAAAAAGTGATTCCATTTAACAACTTCATTATATACGATTATTCTTCAGCCCGAGAAAAACAGCTGATGAAAAAACAGACTTACCAACTTCCTGGACCAGCTTGTACAGAGTGTACAAGTCCAGGGTTTCCTTTTCCAAAGCTGGTATCTTCAGAGTCATTCCCTTAAGAGCCCAAAATTTGGAAACTTCATCAAGGAAATCCATCTTGTTCCTGGTGCAGACCTTACATTTTGGAAATATTAATTAAGTACTTTGAAAGCCTTTAACAGAACACATCTTATGAAATGATAATATGGAAGAATGCTCACCTCCAGCTCATGGAGCAGCTGTGCTTTAGGTTTGAATTTGAAATTGTCTATATCAAAAGCAAATGGTGGCTTCCAGTTCTAGGAGGGTGTAGAAGCAATTATGAATGCCATATTTCAGTCTCTGTGTACTTGTCAAAATAGTTGGCCACATTTAAATCAAATCTCATTATCCATATTATGCAATGAGAAAACAGAAACCAACCATTTAGACATGTGACATATGCCATATTAATGGGACTAGAAAGCAATAAAGTTTTAAGAACTTACACAAGGAGGAACAATTTTACATATCCCATATTTTTCTGCATCAGGACGGATCTTATTGATGAATCTATAAGGATCCTTGAACTCCTCTTCAGAGGGCATATAGATGGGACATTCAGGAGGAACTGTGAAGTCCTTTGGGGCAATACAAAAATGATTACAGCTTGGGGAACCCCTCATGGCAGCCATTGCTCTGCAGCATATGATCTGTGAAGCACACTGCTTCAAATTGTATGTTTCTCGAAGTCAGCTTCTTCGCAAGCTGCCTCACCCTAGAATGTCACAGCAATGGTCTAGTAACTCAATCCAAATCCTCCCTCACACAGAAGTAGAAGCTTATCTCATAGTCCATTCTAAATTATGCCTGAAAAGCACACCTGCTTTCAGAGCACAAAAAGCAAAAAATGCTCCATTTTTGCATATTTTTTGGGATCATGAGAATAAAGGGGCACAGCAAACTGCCTGAAATAAAATATGATCATATTCTACCACTCTTGGACATGTCTTCATTAGAGATTGGGCACTTGGGCAAGAGTCCAGGATGTATATGTCAGAGGATTGAACATTGCCCCCTAAAGAGCTTAAATAAATTGTTGATACATTTGTACGCTTCTGTTAAGAAAGCTTCGTGGGACTCAAATGCCTGCAAAACTTGATGCAAGCCTTTAGCAAGAGAGCATGAGACCTAATCATGCAAATTACATGGTTGAATAACTGGTTTTCATTCTAAGTGGGAGCTCTCTGTATTCCTCTTACAATAAGAAAGTGCCCATTTTTACTATTATGAAGTCTGAGTGATAAACTTACCAATGCAAATCTTACAATCTTTCACTTGTTACCTCAATATTTCACATGATTGCCTGGTCTTCAGATCAATTTAAGATACTATGGTTACTCCATGTAAGTTGCAAGTTTCACCAAGGCTCCACCAATTTCATCATTATTCAATAATGTCTCTGATCCAGAGAGGTATTTTATTCAGTCCTAGGCATAGCATTCACAAGTTGAATGTGGCTATATCTTCTCTGTAAGCACATCAGTATGAAGAAACTATGGCAAAATAAAATATGATTAAGTCTTAGTTTTAGGCTTAACCAAAACAGGTAAGCTCTGATTACAAGTAGCCTAAACCTTGTTGAAATGTTTGATGAATAAGCACTGTTACATAAAATTGGAAGAAATTAAAAAAAATTCACATTAAACCATATTTAGATCATATGGGGCAATAGCTTGACCTGATATTTTCATATTCATCTCTGCCTGCAATAGATCTGAAATGTGAGCAGCACTATGATGTTCTGAAGTGCTTTGATGAGCACAGGGACTTTTAAAAATTATTGAAAGATCCACTCATCACATCACTTCTCTGAAAGCTGCAAGGTCTATGCCAACATTGGAAAAGAAATTCAATCCTTCCACTTCACACAGTAAAAAGTATTTTGTTCAAGATGTAACTAAGACCTCCTTTAGCATAGGGCCACTGCCTAAGCCTAGTTCACCTGTTTTTACTCATAGGTTTATCAAGCCCAGTCAAGGGTCTAAAGTTCCTAGGCTTACTTCAAGGTCATGATATAACACTGGCATGGATAGGCCTGGAATAGGCTTGCTTCAGCCTAATTGAGAGGCTATATCTCTTAATCTCTTGACTTCTGCAAAAAAAAAAACCTTCATTCACAGGCTCCATTGACCTGAACTTGCAGGAGAGAAATTGTAAATAGGTTGGGCCTAACCTATGCTTATAAATGGGCTACATAAGGCAACACCCTAGGAAATTATTCATTAAATTTTTCAACTATGCAATGGGATTAAACTAATCTCAACAGGGCCATTCACATGTGTAAAGAGTAAATAGGACAAACAACAACCCTATCAATGACTTAATAATCTAGTTGGTGAACTATAAACTCATAGAAACATGAGACCTTCATTCACTTCAAAGGACAATACCTCCCACCACCAACAGATGACCCACTGTCCCAAACCTCACATTCCAATTTGTTGCAGGGCCAGCTAATTGCCTTGGAAACTTCCCTTTGCCATTTAGAATAATTCTCAACATAGACTATCTCCTCCTTCACTAACCTCTCACCAATATATCACATGATCTTCATTCATAAACTCAAGTCTAATGCCTCAATAACTAAAACAGCAGTGTACTCATTTACCCTGAGTTGTGAGTGCAAAGCAGGGGTGAATGTGACATGTGGAACAAAAGCTAGTAAAGCGAAATCGATAAATCGAACCCATTATTTTCGAAGTCGTGATTTTTTGTTCTTTCACTCAGGGTCGGATTAAGAAGTTGCGAGGCCCGAGGCTAGTGGGAGGTTAATTCTTAGGGCTACCAACCCCCTCCCCCCCCCCCCCCCTTTAATTTCCTACAGGGACCTCCCCCTGGAAGAGTGGGCCCCTGGCCAATAGCCCCCTTGGCCCCCCCCCCCCTCCCCTCCCCTTTATCCGGCCCTGCCTGAATTCCGAAATGAATAAGTTTTCCGGCATTTAGTTCATGCAAAGTGGTACGGGTACATCTCCCCCGAAAAAATTTGAGGTTAGGCCGGGAGTGCCCACGTTGATGTTGGTACGAAACCATTTGCAATTCGTTTTGGGCCTATGTCAAGGCATCGGATGGAAACTACATTAAGCGCATGTGATGAGAAGGAACGGGCTTTAAAGCGTATAGTATGGCAATCCCTGTCGTGAGCACACCGGAAGGGATGAGCAGGGAACGCCAGAGACATCTAGAGGATGTCATAGAAATCTCAACCGGTCGTTGAGGTAATTAGAAGCAGTGATTGGGTTTGTAGGTTACATGGTGTCTTATGAGAGATCGCCTAATTCGGGATTCCCAGAAACGTGTCAAGAGAAAGTAAATTCCGGACGTGCTGAGTCGGTGAGTCACTTATCTTTAGGTGAGAGGACGTTGCTCCTCTGCGACGAGGTCTCCTCAAGTGCTGTAGCACAACTCCAGCGGGCCGCAAGCTATGAATCTGGAGTTTTGACCCCATTTATGCCACCGAAATCCTCATTGGGAGGTGAGAGTAGAAGGATTTCGGCGGCAATCACTCGTTACTCCCACCACAGCCGACCCAGCTTCTGAAACAAGATGCCGGACGATGGCATCGAGTTGTGGGCGCTCGACGAATCCACTCTTCCCATTCTCCACCCATGACGTCTCTCCCGCCGCTAGTTGCCCTCCCAAGGTTTTAGACGAATGCATTGAGAAATTCGAACGCCTTCTCCAACCTCTCCCTTAGTTTCTCCACGGTTTAGGTTTCAATGCTCTTCGTAAATGTCTTAGCATTTTTTATCATCTATATATACGAACGATGATGGAGTTCGACGGCAGTTGCAAGCAGACGATGACTTGAGTGCTTGGAACTTCATGTAGCGAATTAATACTCAAACGTTGCCAGGGTCAAACGAAACGTCCTGCACGCTCATGTTGCTGTGTGTGCTGGGTTGCATGTGGACATGACTTTATGCATTGTAGTTGGTGGTGAACGTCTCAGCTGAAGTGGTTTTCCGGGAAGACTGGGATCATGTGCCAGATTACCCAAAGTGGAATCCCAACTTCCTTCACACGGAAGTCGTCCTTGTGAGACAAGAATAACTTCATATATCGTTTCCATCCTTTTATAGACCCGAGCAGGCTTTTAGAAATGTTTTCTTCTTCAGGATATCACGTCGAGATGTCGCTTGACTTACCAAGTGACTACCCCGATCGGGAACGGCCTGATCTGGAGCAGGGACGCCGTGACCATCGCGTATTGGAACAAGGAAGGCGATGCGACCTACCTCGCCTTCTCCAGCACCTCCTGGCCGGCATTGCCTCCGTCCAATCGATATGTCAGGTCCGTTACAGTTCGATTCCATCGTAGCGAGACCTGGGAAGGGGGACGTAATGAGGCACGGGCTGTCTTACATCAAAATTTATCGAAGCACCTTTAGATTTTTGTCTGCAAACTCAAACCAGTTAACGGCAAAGCCCCTCATTTGTCTCCAAATGAAGTGAAATCCCATTCACTGCACGAATCCTAGGAAAAGAAT